GGATTTTTGACCCTAATGGCCATCCATATATACTGCCCCTATCACCAGGCACCGCCACTTTAAATGTATAACACTTTATGTCTTTGATCAATTTAAAAGATAATTAAATATAAACAATTAACAAGCAAAATACACACTAAGTGAATCAGTCTCATTGAGTTTTTTATTTTTATTTTGTCAGATAAATACCTAAGCCAGGTGGTTACCGTGGTAACCTTAAAGAGATACTTAGCAACTTTTTCATATTTTTAAATCATTTCCTTGAGCCACTGTGTGCTAAAATGATGCTTTACAGGGTTAATCACTCAGACCCCCACTGCCCTCTGTGGCCAGAATACCGCATTTTTACCTTCAGAGTGCCGGTCCCGTTCTGTTGGAGCTGACATACCTGGTGCTGCGGTCTGCTTCCAGCACATTTCCTGCATGTTTTAGATCATGAACACAGCTGATTTGTTTAATTTAGTGATGAATGACTCCTGTAGACACTAATGAAGGCTGGGGAGACATTTCAGATGTTAGATGAAGATGTTAAAAAGACGATCGCACAACGAGGAGATAAGCTTTGCTTTTGGTTCTACTAAATGGACACTAGGGGGTGCCAAAAGCAAGCCAAAACGGCCTAGTGTCCCTTTATAAGACCATCGTTACCATGGATTCCCTGATGACTCAGACGCAACAGCTTTAACATTTAATAGTCTGTAGATCTTAGTTCTCTTTTCCTGACCCTTTTCTCTCAGACTATAATAAAGTAGGTGATGAGGTTTCAGGCAGCCGCTGCTTTAGCCCGCATCAATGTCTTTTTTTTTCTTTTAGAAATGTTTTCAGAAGTAAAACCGGTAGTCTCTGTTGGATCTTTACACTGTGATGTTTGTTGGTTTCTTTCTTTCTTTCTTTCTGAACGCTTCTGTTAGAACTTGTGTTGAAACTCAAGAGAAAAGTAGTGAATTCCTGTGACGGTGCTGCGGTTTCATTAGTGGAAATCCTGCTGGGATTCAGAAAACAAACCAACAGCAGCTGCAGGCGTATGGCCACTGGCACACAGACACAAAAACTGCAGGATCTCCTCCTTGAGGAGATCCATGCTGGCACCTATGTTCAAACTGCTTTCTAACCTTTCAGCTGCTGATGTACTAAAAGCCACGGGCTGATGTAAGTGTCATTTCGGCCAGCCTACTGTCAATCTGTGCTTCTCAGCTTCAGAACCCAAATGTCTGATCCAATCAGAACCATCTGTATGTTCCCTCAGGGGGAAACACCTCACTGGATATTAAATAAATAAATCATTAAATGAATGAATAAATATCAGTCCATCTAGTGCCCTCTGAAATCCAGTTGATTCTCTCTGAAAACAGCCCAGTAGAACCAGCTGAACCAGTGAGGAGGAAGTGGTTTTAAAGGCATCTGATTTTAGTTCAAGTGAAGAAGGTCACAGCCTCCTCACCACTTCACACATTCAGGCTTAAACAATGGAAGAAGAAAAAACATAGAAATGCAGGAAATAAAGCAGAAAGGATGATGGTTGGGATGTTTCTATGGCAACAAATACCTAAATACCTCCACAGCAGCTTCATAACAGAACAGTTTGGTTTAACATTTACGGAGCTGTGAGTATTGTTCACGTTAAATTATATTTAGTGAAGCTCATTGAGATAAAAGTGGAAAAGGAGGGTGAGGATGTGTGAGGAGGTCTGAGGGGGACAAAGAGTAATGAGAGTCATCCTCCCTGCAGAGGGATCGACCAGCGTTCATGTGAGCAGAATTAAATGTGAAACCTCAACGCTCCATCTGCAAAGCTTAAATTCGCTGCAGTGCGGGAGGTAATCACTGTTTCTGCTGGCTTCTCAGCAGGGCATGCTGGGTAATTTCATCTTCTCTCAAAGCAACAGTCATACCTGGTCTTATAACAGAAGTTTATGTAAAACGTTCTCCTGAAACATTTTCAGACTTGGGTCAGTGTCACGCTTGCTGGTGAGTGAAGCGAAGGTGAGGATCCAAACGCGGGTGAAAAGGCAGGCAGGCAGGCAGGCAGGCAGGAACAGTTTACAAATGTTTTAATATAAAAACACGCTGGACAACGGAAACAATGAACCAAACAAAAGACACAGAACTGAGAGTGTTTAAATACATGAGGGCTGGGAGCTTGGGTGACTGGAAAATGAGAGGCAGGTGGGAGCAATTAACAGAGGCACATGACAAAACAGAATGGGGAGAAAGGTGTGACTGTACCACCCCCCACCCCCAAAGGGCGGATTCCAGATGCCCACAGGAACACAGAGCAGGGCGGGAGGGGGGGACCAGGAAGGAGGGCCGAGGGGAACCGAGGGACCGGTGGAGAAGAGGCAGGGACCAGTAGAGTCCGGGGGCCTGCATCTGGGGCATAGGAGGAGACAGCGACGGGCTCTGGGAGGCTCGCGCCTGGTGAGGGCAGGACCGGCGGGGACCGGAGGCAGAGACGCTGGAGGAGACGACGTCGACCCCTGGAGTGGAGGAGACGTCGACTTCTGGTCTGGAGGCGCCGACTTCTGGTCTGGAGGGGGTGTCGACTTCTGGTCTGGAGGGGGCGTCGACTTCTGGTCTGGAGGCGCCGACTTCTGGTCTAGAGGCGCCGACTTCTGGCCCGGAGCCGCCGACTTCTGGTCCGTCGACTTCTGGACCGTCAACTTCTGGGCTGGGGTCAGAGCTGCTGTAGACGGGACCTCTTCCTTGGCTGGTGCCGCCGGACTGGGCTCTGACATCTGGACAGGCCGGCCTGGGGGCAGAGCCTCCTGGACCGGCTGGCCTGGGGGCGGAGCCTCCTGGACCATCGCTGGAGCTGACTGGACTGGTGGCGCGGGACCGGGTGGAGCCGGTAACTGGGAAAGCAGGGAAGGTAGATTGTCCAGCTGAAACTCCTGGAGACTGAGGATCTGACCGAGTCGGACCAGCTGAGCTTGGAGGGCCGGCTGCCCCCACACCCTGAGCCCCCAGGCCCCCATCCAGACCTGCCCAGGGGCAACGCAGCTGCCAGGCAGCGACCCATGGCCACCACCAAGACCCCCAAGGGGCCCCACTCCCAACCGCCAGTAGTCCACCCCCCGAGGTAACCCAGGCACCTCCAGACGGGGGCAGCAGCCCCCCAGTCACAGACACCCCCAGTAAACCCACCTCCAGGGAACGTCCGGATACTCCAAACTCAGACCCTCCACCCCATCACCCACATCATCCCACAGGACAATATCAATGATCCCCCATCATCGCTATATAATGGAACTGATCAAAGGAGCCCAAAGAGATTGATTTGTAGTGGAAGCAGAGGCTGTATCAAGTGTAATATGATCTAACCAACGACTTCTATTCTGGTTAATGCACAGAGTATCTCTATTTTTCCAATTCAAGAGGATAGTTTCCTTAGCTATGCATATGGCAGTCAGAACCACGTGAACCAAAGATGTTTCAATCGGGACATCGTCCAGGTTTCCCAGTAAACAAAGAGAGGGGGTGGTTGGGATATAACATTTCAGACACTTTGGCAGGTCTTCACATACTCTACCCCAAAATTCCTGGACAGGCAGACAAGACCACAGTGCATGAATGTAATTGTCAGGAATGTTGTTTGTGCAGTGTGTACAGGTGTCAGACGACACAAACCCCATCTTGAACATCCGATGACCTGTATAGTGTACTCTGTGTAGAATTTTGTACTGAATTAATTGTAAATTGGGATGTCTGATCATTTTAAAAGTTTTTAAACAAGTTTGGGACCAGAGGTTCTGGTCAAAGCTGACTGATAGATCCACCTCCCATTTTTCAATAGGGATTGCTATTTTATCGTCTATTTTGGACAGTGTCTTATATACTTTAGACAGTAGTTTGGGGGGTTTGAGATTATAGAAGTCAAATACCCTTGGTGGTGTGTGTAATTCTATTTTATTGAGCTTAAATTTTTGTTTTACTACAGATTTAATTTGGTGATATTCTAAAAAGCTATTCTTATCCATTCCAAATTGGGAGACTATTCTTTTAAATGGGATGAAGTCCAATCCTTCATATATGTGTTCCAGGTATAGGATTCCTTTATTTTTCCAGTCCGGAAGATTCATCATTTTATTATTTAGCAAAATATCAGGATTATTCCAGATAGGTGTGCGTCTGCATGGTACTAGTGAAGACTCTGTCATTTTAAGATACTCCCACCATGCTTCACACCATATTGCAAAGTGTCTGTTCTATATCTAACCAGGACTCATCTAGTGGGTTATCTTGCAACCATCTTGGTATATATTGCAGCCTGTTGGCTAAGAAATAATAATAAAAGTTGGGTAGATCCAGTCCTCCTGGCCGAATCGGGAGATACAGCTAATCGAGAGGTAATTCTTGTGTTATCAAATTCATTGTTTATAAATTTTGGCAAGTCTGGCAAATCAGGATTTGAGGGTTTTATCAAAACATTTCTCAGAAGCCACGCCGTCTTCAGATACAAAGGTGTTTAACATTTTGTGAATGAGAATGTTTTAAAACACTTATGTGAGGTGAATATTAACATTAATATCTTATGAGTGTAGATATTGATTAACTTGTTAAATCAAGCACATACTGATCTGGTGAAGATAAGCTCTGAAATGGATTATTGCAGGTATAATATCCATTTTAAAGCCATCACTGGTTTAAGTGCAGATTATTCAAACATTTGATTAAAACATCATGTTCATTCATCACATGATTTAATCTGTAAAGTTATTTGTCATTCAAGATGCCTTTTCCTCTGAGTGAGATTGCAGGAGCTCTGCATGAGACCTCGATAATGTTTAGACTTCCTGCAGCAGCAAGAACTGTGGCAAAGGTTGGTTTTGGGAGTCGGAGCCCAGACAGACGGTGTTTTCCTGTCTGCACATGAAAGGTTATCTTGTGGCCAATTAGATGGTGAACACTGACCACTTGGTACGTTACAACTGTGCCTACATTTGTTCTCAAAGGTTTAAAATAGCATAATCTGGCTCCTTTAAAAACAGCCTGGAACTCACCGTGGCTGTCTTTGGGTCCAGGAGCAACATCCAGGGTCCCGATCCTGCTGCTGCCCCCGAGAGGAAGAAGACAGAGCAGCAACCACAACATCCCGCCAGCGTTTGCAGACCTGCCCACACAAACAACGACAAAACATCAGCTGGGAAAGAAAAAGCCATCCCCCCACCCTTTGCTGTCCCCACAGCACTTCACTGACTGTGGGAAAGTTTCAGCTCCAGATCTTCAAGAAAGAGAAGCCCCAGAGACAAGAGTGTTTAAAGTGCAGCAATGTGACTGACTCCCCTCCAGCTGTGTGAGCTGTGATGATGCAGCATCATCCTCCCTCATCATGATACGCATCACAAGGGATGAAGCATCACACCTCCCCCTCCAATCAGCTGATGCTATGGGTCAGAATAAAAATAAAACTCAGGAACCGATTTTGCTTCCTCTCGAGTTGTTGACAAAACAACAGAAACAAACAAAACTGTCCCTTTCAAATACCGTTGAGCACACTTATTTGTTTAATTAAATGCTGGAAGCCTGATTGAGTTTATCAATAACCCAAAATTTCTCCTACTTTTTGAGTCATCAGATGATTTTTCTGAGAAGCAGAAAGTTTATTTCAGGCTAAAGTCAGTCAAGGAGATGCAGTTTGAGAAGCAGCCAGGCGAGAAGAATCTTACAGCTCCTGCTGCTGGTCGACAACGCCCTGGAGGTCTAAAACTCTTCTCAATCTGTCATCACCTCGGTGGATTAGATATCCCATAATAAGCAGGGAGTAGGGCTAAATCATCACCCTTTCTACATTATAATGTCAATTAGCCACGTGCTAACTACCCATAACAGCTGATATAAAACATAATAATTCAAATGTAAACCTTTAATCTTCTTAACTAAATCTGGGTTTATCCAGGAGTCTAACGGAGACTTTAAGGATTCTAGGAATACCTTCGGAACAATGAAATTCCTCATCGACTTTGTCCCACCGCTGCTGATTCAATGGACTTAGCAGCTTGCTCTGCGTCCCCAATGTTAGCTAATCCTCCACACAAACTGATCACACTCCAGGAATTAGACCTGGAAATTATAATCTAATCATGATAATCTAAATATGATTTGATAACTTCTTAAATATCAGGGGAAACTGCTTCAGGCATGAAGTGAGACCTCCTGAGGGGTCACCAGCGAATCCCACTGGACAGAGCTGCGCGATGCAGTCACCATAACTGATTCCTGCAGGCCTGAAATCAAACGATTGCAACCTAAGAAGTGACTGATCTTAAATGTGTCTTAAAGGAAAACTTCGCTCATTTAATCAACATATTTGCAGTGGTCTCTAGTAGGAATGAATGCCTTGTAACTGGTTCTCTGGGGTAATGAATATACCTGGGCACCGTTTCCAGGAACTAGAAATGAGCCACCTCACAGCGGAGCTTCAGACGGCAGGATTTGGAGTCTTATTTCCTGATATTTGGACATCTCGCCTTGGATCGACTAACAGCAACGTGACTACCACTGACTTTACCAGCGTGGATGTTTTAGATCCACAAATAACACAAGCCTGGAGGAGTTCTGCTGTGTGGTGGAGTTTCTAATGCTAATGGTGGCGCTTAAAATAGTCAAGATGTTCTCTGCTGTTTCCTGGATGCTAAAACAACAACAGCCTTCCCCATCGTGAGACAAAATGGTTGAATCCATGAAGGTTAAGTGACAGGGTGATGTAAATCTGTCAGGATTTTCAAATCCTAGAGTTTAACCCTCTATTTTCTATTAGAAGCTAAAGCAGGAGAGCTGTGTGAGACTATTTTCATGTTCAGTCTGTGTGAAAGTGACTGATTATAATCAGAAATGTTTTCAGTGAACCACACCTTTAAAGGTCACAGAGGTCCTTGTTTCACCTCAGTCTAAAAAAGCAGAACCCAGTAGATCCTAATAAAGTCTTATCTGAACCACTTCTCCTTCCTCCTCCTCTCTGGCAGAGCTGTTTGTACTCGACAGCAGGATTTGTGGATGTTCATCTGGCTGCTGGTCTCATCCAGCTGCTGACAGATGTTTGTGAGCCAAGCTCAGGAAACAGCAGACATGTTTTATATGATGCATGTAGGCGTTGATGAGGAGCTTTACACTCGTCTGTCATGAGGAGAAGGAAAGATGAGTCGACCTGCGAGCAGCGACGATAACAGCAGCTCCAACCTGGAGACAACAATCCCAGAGAATAATCCCTGCCTTGATCTGGGAGGAGAGAGGATTACACCGAGGCCTCACAGAGTCCTATCGAGCTGACGACGCTAACGCGGAGACCCGTGGGACAACAAACAGAACACAAACACGTGAAAAGGACGAAAGCTCCGAGTTAAGGTCCTTCAAACTCAGACCAAACAGATCAACCAGAAACCAAACAGGAAATAAAAAAGATGTGTTTCTTTTCTGTGGAAACAGAATTCAGTCAAACACCACCTGGCTGAGTGAAACCCTGCCCGTTTCAACATCACGTCCATGTTTTAGGTTTCGCAGTTCAATGTGAATCTTTCTGAAATTTTATTTCACGTTAGTAAATGTTCAGCTAACGACACGTTTTGTTACTTAGTTTAGTTTTTATTTAAATTTTGTTCATTATTATCATCATCAGTTGGTTATTTCTGTCTTGATGAAGTAACTTGAAGATGTTTTTGTGTAACCGAGACATTTGTTTCCCTGTGAGATTTTTATTTGAGTCATTTCACATCTCTTTAACACAGCTGAGCCTTTGTGCGTTATGTGGTCATTTTCCTTAACTCTGTTACCTCCTGCAGATGATTTATGTCTTAGTGGTTTCACAGCGGCCTTTTGTCACCACACTGCATCATTTATTGAATGTTTTATGTTGCTTTTTTGCCTTTTTATGGTGATTTTGGTTTTCTTCTGTTATCTGTTTGTGCCTTTCAGACGTTGCTGCTGCAAAACCGAAAAAAAGAAGAAGAAAATGTTCTCCGATCAGCATCGTGACCAGCAGCGGGTCACATGTCAGATTTATGAAGCGAACAGCGACATGCTTGTGAGAGAATCTTCCTCCTACAGTGTGCCTTCACCTCACCTCGGAGGGGGTTGCCCCTCCAACATCCTGTCACATTGCACAGCCTGAGGGGGGGAAGCCCCTTTAAGCCTGAACACATGTGACTATGAATGTCCACACAGGTCTAGTTTGAGCCACGCTGTATGATCCGATTCCACCCGGAGGGCCGACATAAACTCAGGAATGTCCTCAGCGGTTCTTCTTTCAGGCAGCAAAGAGACAAAAGGCTCCTTTAGACGACGCTCCTTTGTGCAAAAGAAACAAACGTTTTCACAGAAGCGCTTTCACACAAGTTTAATGCAGCATTAAAGCTAATTATCACAGATGGCGCGGAGCTGCGTCACTACTCCACACTCATGATGTCTGAGTACATTTATCCAGATGTTTGTGACCTAGACACACACACACACACACACACACACACACACACACACACACACACAGAGTGCACATGGACAAAGTCCTCCAACACCCAACGGAGCTCACTAAAGCGTGTTGTGAGGAAATGACCATTGATTGTGGGACTTTTGATCACAAGTCAAAGTCCTTCATGGGTACTCAGAGGCGACGGTGGCACAGGAGTTAAGCACTCTCCCCCATAATCGGAAGGTTGCAGGTTCGAGTCCCGCTCAGTCTGTCGCTGCCATTATGTCTTTGGGCAAGACACTTAACCCACGTTGCCTGCTGGTGGTAGTCGGAGGGACCGGTGGCGCCTGTGCTCGGCAGCCTCGCCTCCGTCAGTGCGCCCCAGGGCAGCTGTGGCTACATCGTAGCTCATCCCCACCAGTGTGTGAATGTGTGTGTGAATAAGTGAATGAATGATTGTGTTGTAAAGCGCCTTGGGGGTTCCAGGACTCTAGAAGGCGCAATATCAAATACAGGCCATTTTACTCATAGCATGATGTAATGAATTCAAATCATAATAAGCAGAGTTCGGACTGGATCGTTTAAGTTTTTGGCTCTATGTGCTGGTGGCATCTCCCAAATCTTTGTAAACACATATAGAAAAGCCAAATCAGATGCAAAACCTCTAACGAGGTCCAGGATACGGATTAGACTCTGAACACAAAAAATTAAATGGTGCAGGTTTAGGTTCTAATTCACAGCACAGAGGCTCGTGAACGTTTTCAGCTCTGATAAGCTGTGAGGAGCCCAGAGGTTCTTCTTCTTCCCATGAATCTGTTTAAATGAAGCTGAGTTTATTCAAGTTGAGTAAGCTGAGACACAACGAGCGTTGGTCAGGCAGCACATCCAAGTCTTTGACAAATTTACGAGCATTTAGGAAGCTGTTGACCTCAAAACAAAATCAAATCATCTTGTTGCACAAGAAACTAATGAGATGAATTAACGGCAGGAGGGTTTTCTGTACGGAGGGTCAGCAATTGTGATATAATTAAACAGCCTCACGTCAGATTTGGCTCCTGTTATGAATTTAAAACATGAATTTCGTTATCTGAAAAGGCCAATCCTTATTATATTGACTGTGCTGTCCTCAGACTACTCTAGTAAACATTGTTTGATATTTGAAAAACAAGTCTGAACTCTGTATTTTACTAATGGGTCTGGGTTTTGCATTTATAATATAAAACAAAAAAAGGAGCTTAAGTCAGACAAAAAAGTGTCTTTTGCAGGCAGAGCAAATCTCAGACATCAGTGGTTTGCATCATTTAAATCTAATCTCTAAAAGTCGTTCAGGCAAGGGCAGAAAGGTCAGAAATGATAAGGACAAGCTAAACTATCAGGAATTCCTCCTAAAGCAGAACACACTAGCCTCCAATGAATAACGATGTTCAGATAGTTTAACAAAAACAGTTAGTCATTAAGGGTCTCTTATTTTGAAAAGTTTGTCAAATCTTTCTCTAAAATCAGGAATGAAACTGCTTTCTTGTTTCAAAAGTGGTTTCAGAGGGAGAAAAGTGAAATCCAGCTGAGAGACGAGCTGCTCTCATCAGATCCAGCAGCAGCTCTGCAGGAATGCTTCACCCGTTGCTGTGGCAACCACCTACCTTCACATCCATAAATCCATACGCATCAGATCACCTGCAGCTTTCAGCAGGACCAAACACGTAAACTCC